CTATGCGATTTTCTCACAGTGAGGGTCAAACAGATGTCTGTTTCGACGAAACGGGAAGGTAACTTAAGTGGAACGGTGTTTATGACCAGTTTTTTCAATCTCCATGATCAGTGGCGCGTTTTGCGGAATGTTATTTTCTTGTCGTTGGCAAAACAGTGTTTGAATTGGTGTCACTTCGCTACGTCGTCTGATCTTTCTGACTTAGATCACTTCTCTTAAAGAGGAATAGATTTATTAATCAATATGTCGACTGATCTCTCTACGAATATAATGCAAAGTAGGATCAAAGCAATGAAATGTTTACACGATCGATCGTTCGAGTCTGTAGATTTTACTGCCAGTAAGGAGAAGTGATGCAAAGCTTTCGATAGATTCAATTCGTCCAATGAAATTTACACGAAATAAAGCAAGTTTTAGTTGTGATGAGATATGTTAGAAGAAAGGATAACTCGGTTTGTAAGCATACTGTACTTTTTCGGATCAGATACTTATAAATGTCGCTTTGAATCGCCTATCATTCACTGTTGTGGTTTCAGTTACCTTTTGACTTGTGGCTCAGATGGAGATGTACGTATCTACAAAGATTTTGATGATAGTGATCCGGAATCAGTCAGGGCTGGAGAAAATGTGACAGTGTTAGTAGTCAAGGTACATGCCTGCAAGCTAAAAAATCTTTTGTATTGGGTTAAACTGAAAGAATATTAAGTAAGAACCACATTTATTTTTGCATGGTGCTACATATACAGGTGCTGTGTGCCATTAGTTAGTCTCTGATATTCTTTGCTTCATCATTTCACAATACTACACAACGGTTTTTCCCTGAGCCATAGTCAGCCTTATAATTTGCTTATTAGTAAAATGTTATTGTTGCTTATAATTTTTTGATGTCCGTAACATTTAAAATTGTTATTACTTTGCGAAATTTTTTCACAGAACAAGAAAATAGTCACTGCATCGGACAACTCTGTTCAAGTATTTACCTTCCCTGAGGTAGTTGCCAATGTTTTGTCTTTATTAGTTAAATGATTTGCATGTATTTAATATATTTTGTGGCTGCACTTAGATATAAGCAGGGATTATTTTTATTTTCAATATTGTTACATAGCACTAAGTTTTCAAAGTTGTTTATCATGATCATAAAGAGGAATGTAGAGTTTGATCACAGAGTTTTCGATGAAATCACTTCATAACAGTGATAAAGTGGAATCCCAGCTTTGCTTGTGTATGATTTTAAACACTTTTCATAGGTTTCTAAATACATGGAAGATTTGTTTGAACTACAAATTGTGCTATGCAACCCAAGTTTTGAATTGGTATTTGTGAAGTGTTTAAAACATAGACATGAAGTAAATGTTTATTTAACTTAAAGTTGTGGATTCTCAGTTCAGATCATGGAATGGAAAAGCTGAATTTTATTTAATGGACACAAATATTTTGTACAGTGGTAAAATAATTCAACATTTTTATTTTCAGCAGTTTTATTTTTATTTAAGATACTGGCTTGTAAGATTCATTAATAGTTTTTTCAGTGATTTTGAATGAAATGCTTTGTAATATTAGGGGTCTCCTGATGGAATCCTCACAAGATTTACAGCTCCTGTCAATCACATCTGCTTTAACCAATCAGGAACAGTGTTTGCAGCAGGAGCAAGGTTTGTCAAATGGCTACTGAAGATGAATTTCTGATTTGTGAAACAGTGTCCATGTGGTACTTTGAATAACTGTGAACAAAGGTCTCAGCAGATCTTTCCAGATGGAAAATTCTAGTAAAGAAAGCTGCAGGTGTTTGTTACAAACTTAGGACAAAGAAAATTCAAATCAGTTTGCCTGGGCCAATTTTACAGAAGAGTGCTTCACAAATGTCTGCATGCTTCATTATACAATAAACTCATATCAATGAGTGTTTGATGTTTAATAATAATTATGAATGAAAAATTTGCACACTTTTGATTGGCTCGACTTGAGTGCATTTTTCATGTGACATGAGTGCAAAACTACAAGGGCAAATTACAAAAAGTGCATGCTGTCTTGACTTTCTGTAATGCTCTTTTTACATGAATTGTTAATATTTTATTATTTTAATTATTAATAAATATTATTTCTTGTGTAATTGGTGTAATGAGAATGAATAAATTTTTCAAAGACCACAAATTACACTTTCCCTATAGGCTCATGCAATATTGTTCTATTTCAAACATTTGCTTGTGCTAATATTAACAACAAATTGCACTTAAAATCATGTTGTCACCTATATTAATTGCCACATGTTT